AAAAAAAAAAAAAAAAAAAAAAAAAAAAAAAAAAAAAAAAAAAAAAAAAAAAAAAAAAAGGAACAATCATCCTGCTCCTCTTCCAGTGGACAGATTCCTGTTTCCTTGGTATCAATACCAAAACCATGTCGTTTTGATCTCTCAGACCTGACTCACAGTCTCAGATTCTTTGAACATCACCAAAAGCCTTCCCCTTTTCCCGGCACCAACAACCAACCAACCAACCAACCATCATATTGCTCAGAATTCCCTTCATCAGTTTCAGTGTTCAAAACGCTAAACATCTCAGTCTTATTCATTCATATCCTTTCCAGTTCGTCTTAATCACTTTGGATCATAAAGTTTTGTGAATGTTGAAACAAAAAAAGGGTTAAAAAAGTGGAATGGTTTCCACTTTCTATGAGGGACCCTCGATTTGCTCTGTTTTTAGCTTTGAAAAGCTGGGGGTAGTGGGAAATGGGTATCAGCTCAGCTCAGCTCAGCTCATCTCATGTTGAAAGAGCACTAATTAGATTCTGTTCTTGTTTTCTAAATTCTAACTATGTTCCTTTTTATTCTGTCTTTTGATGCAAAGCCTTGAAAAGGAAGGTTCATCTTCCCCAGATTTAGATTTTTAGTCCCTCATGGATTCAGATCTTATGCTGAAAACTCAGTGTGGATTGGAAAGATCAAAGGGTGAGGTAAATGTTGTGCTGAGTGTTCTTGTCATTGTCAAAGAGGGAACTCAAATCCATGGATATATTTGCTGCAGATTCTTACTTTTCATGTGCAAATTTGTTAGCTTTTCTTCCCGGGTTTGGAAATATGAGATCCCACGTTGATTGGAAAGGTAAACGAAACATTCTTTATAGGGTGTGAACATCTCTCCCTAGCAAACACGTTTTAAAACCGCGAGACTGAGCAAACACGTTTTAAAACCGTGAGGTTGACGACGATATATAACATTCTTTATAGGGTGTGAACGTCTCTCCCTAGCAAACACGTTTTAAAATTGTGAGGTTGACGACGATACGTAACAAGTTAAGGCGGATAATATTTGCTAGCGGTAGACTTAGGCTATTATAAATGGTATTAGACCGAGACACTAGACGATATGCCAATGAGGACGCTGACCCTAAGGAGGTGGATTGTGATGAAATCCTCTCCCGAGTAGACGTGCTTTCTTTCCTGGATTTGAAATGACTAGCATAATGAGATCCCACGTTGGTTGGAAAGGTGAACGAAGCATTCTTTATAGGATGTGAACATCTCTCCATAGCAAACATGTTTTAAAATCGTGAGGCTGATGACGATACGTAACGGGTTAAGACGGACAATATTTACTAGCGGTAGACTTAGGTTGTTATAAATGGTATTAGACGCTGACCTCAACGGAGTGGATTGTGATGAAATCCTCTCCCTAGTAGACGTGTTCTAAATCGTGAAGCTGACGACAATACATAATGGGCCAAAACGGACAATACATGCTAACGTTGGGTTTAGGCTATTACAAATGGTATTAGCCCCAGACACTGGGCGATATGCTAATGAGGACGCTGACCCAAGGGGGTGGATTGTGATGAAATCCTCTCCCTAGTAGACGTGTTCTAAACCGTGAGGCTGACGGCGATACATAATGGACTAAAATAGACAATACATGCTAACGTTGGGTTTAGGTTGTTACAAATGATATCAAACTCAAACATTGGGCAATATGCTAGCGAGGATGCTAACTCTCAAGGGGTGGATTGTGATGAAAACCTCTCCTTAGTAGACATGTCTTAAAATCGTGAGGCTAACAATGATACGTAACGAGTTAAAGTGGACAATATCTGCTAGCACGAACGCGAACAGTACAACATTTCTTCCGAGGGGATTAAGGTTAGAATTTGGAGTTAACTCTGTGTTTGGTCGGGAACAGTTCTGCAAGAACTGAGGTTGCAAATTTGCAACATTTATGGATTGAGGAAGATGAAGAGAGAGAGATCTTCAACGGTCAGTGTTTATGTGCATTAATTTCAAAACGGTTCAAGATTCCTTCCAAATTAATTGGTCAATCTATGAGTTAAATTCCAAAACTTAAGAGGGTTCAGTTCTTCTAATCTCATTTATTACATGATTAATGTTGTGAAACAAGCTTATTAAAAAGGCCCTCATGTTCTATTCTGAGCCATAACCGAACCCATAGCCATAGCCATACTCATTTGAGCTGAAAGTGAGTTCAGATCTTCACTTTCAGCTCTAGCCAAGCCCATAGCCATAGCCATAGCTGCATAATCTGCAAGAATTTCACATATTTCTTCACGTTCTTACCACAAACCTCTCTCCTTAGCTGCATAATCTGCAAGTTTAGGTGAAAGAAGGGCAGACAAAAATGTATATGAAGAATAAAGCTGAAGGAATTGGATTGGACTATGCTTCAAGATATGTATTATTTAGGAAGTGGGCCTTTTTTCTATGTTTTGTATGCTTTTGTGCTGGCATGCTCTTTACAAACAGGTACAATATTGTCAATACAGCCTATCTTCAACATTTTAAGCAACATTTTTGGTTGCTTTTGCTGGAAGAACATTTTAAGAACTTGAAAATCTGTTTGTTCAACTGGTTTTTACCGCAAAGATTGCGTTCGATCGTGTTTTTAGGACCGTAAAATTTGGTTTAATTTTACCTGGAAGCTGTTCATGTTAATGAGTATTATCTTTTCAGGTTGTGGATAGTGCCTATGGCTAATGGTGTTGCACTGAAATCTTATGATCAAGAACTTGTTAGTGATTCATATATATCTTGATTATATTCTCTTTAATCTACGAATCGAACGAAACTAAATGTTTTTTTGTTCAACAAGGCGAAAACCGAAACATCTGGTGCAAGGCGAGAGGAGTTTTCGAGATCCCAGCTGAGTATTCAGTAAGTAACATGCTGATGCTTGATTCAAATTGGTTTAATGAGTGTCCTAAGAGCAAATGTATGATATGCAGGACACTTGCTAGGAGCATTTCGGATCTGGAGACGAAACTTGCAGCTGTAACGACCGATCACGAACCGACTTCCAAAAGAAAGTATCTAGTAGTTGTAGGAATCAATACAGCTTTTACTAGCCGAAAACGAAGAGATTCGGTTCGTGCAACATGGATGCCACAAGGTCTGCTAATGTCACAAATCCTACGGTGACTTTTCCATCATCTGCATGAACTGATAGTAATGTTTATAATTTGATCTTGCTAGGTGATAAGAGAAAGAAGTTGGAGGAAGAGAAAGGTATAGTCATCCGTTTCGTTATCGGTCGAAGGTAAACGAAGAACACACGATTTTCTTGTTAAGTTCTATACAACTTTGACAAATAGATCACAGCAAATGGTTTATATTTGGTTGATAGCGCAACTCCTGGCAGTATACTCGATATGTCGCTCGACGCGGAGGAGCGTCAACATGGAGACTTCCTGAGACTGGTAATACCTGTTTCAATCAATGTTCTAAGTTGAAGAGTATAATCAAAGATCAGAATGTGGTATTTGATGAAACTTTTGTTCATGTTTGTTCAAATGTTGCAAGCAGAATCATGTCGAAGGCTACCTCGAATTATCGGCCAAGACGAAAACTTACTTTGCTACAGCTGTTTCTTTGTGGGATGCCGAGTTTTACGTCAAAGTCGACGACGACATCCATGTGAACATAGGTGAGTCGACGACATTCAGACAATCTTCCTGTTTGAACTGTCAAGTGAATGTTTATGCTGCTTCTATCCTTTTATCTACAACAGGTGCGCTCGGAACAACTCTGGTAGGACATCGTAATAAGCCTCGGGTTTACATCGGTTGTATGAAGTCCGGACCGGTACTCTCGAATAAGTAAGCATAACTTGTATGTTCTAGCTTAGAAAACACAAATTATTACCAATAGTTTTGTTCTTCACAATGCCTTTTGATTGGTATAGAGGAGTAAAGTACCACGAACCGGAGTATTTACGATTCGGGGACGAGGGAAATTTGTATTTCCGTCATGCTACAGGACAGTTATATGCAATCTCGAAAGACTTGGCTACTTACATCTCGCGCAACCAGTTAAGTTTAGAAGTTCTTACAAAGCACGAAAAACGTTTCGAAGCAGTTTCGCTCGTGATTAAACGATTTCATTGTTCAACCTGCAGGGATGTGCTGCACAAGTATGCCAATGAAGATGTTTCATTAGGATCTTGGTTGATTGGTTTAGATGTGGAGCAGG